CTCTCAGAACGCTTCATTTAGATCGGAATAATTTTACCGAGTTAACAGATGAGCTGCGCCCTCTTGCGGCACTTGAGGAACTTCATATGGAAAATAATTCACTGCGACTAATTGGGAATGAAACGTTCGTCAACAACACGAACCTCACTCACGTTTACCTTCATGATAATGAATTAGAGTTCCTACCAGAGGGAATCTTTGATCCAATAAACAAATTGGAGGTTATTAGTCTTTATAGAAACCCATTCCAATGTGCATGTGGTAATCGATGGTTGAAAATCTGGCTAAAAGAAAACATTCATATTGTCCACAACCCAAACACTGTCATGTGTTTCACATCTTTAGGGCCAAGTCCAATGTTGTCATCAGATGATAATGTGTTCTCTTGTGAAGATGACAAAATTATTAATGTTGGTAAAAACTTCACATCAATCATCGTAGTATCTTGTGTCAGTGCAATTTTCCTGGCAATATCTGTAGTGATCTTTAAATTCCGTCACGCCATCAGAGTAATTCTTTACGCCAGGTTAGGTGTGGCGGTCTTACATAATGAAGACGATCAAGACAATGTAAAAACATACGATGCATATATCTGCTACAGTAGTAAAGACCTTCCAATTGTTATGACTTCGCTGATACCCCGTCTTGAAGGTATGAATCCTCCGTTCAAGCTCTGCATCCATGACCGAGATTTTCCAATCGGAGCTTGTATTGCTACCACCATCATCGAATCTGTTAAAGCCAGCAGACGATCAATCATTCTCCTGTCTCGAAACTTTCTAGCCAGCGAATGGTGTATTATGGAGTTTAAGGCGGCGCATCGATATGCTTTGAAACATCAAAAGAATCACATGATTGTAGTTCTTCTAGAACCAATTCCAGATGAAGAGATTCTTAACGAAGATATTAAGTTCTACTTATCTACCAACACATACGTAGAATGGACTGATCCGTGGTTTTGGGATAAACTATACTTTGCACTTCCTAAAAAGAATGTTAATAGTGAAGTTGATCCCCTCCAGGAGGATAATGAGGGTTACCAGCTAGCGCTTGACGAAATATAGAAATTGTATTAATCAATGTACTTGGGAAAAACTCCGAAAGTTTTTGAATTGTTCAAAAAATTAAGATCAGATTCAGCTTTTCTGTATTTAAAAAAACAACTATGCAATTGAGGCTTTTTTCAAATCTCATTCTTTCATTCTTCACACTCATTTTGCACACGCATAGTTGAACAGCACTAATGCTTATTGCACAACAAGTAACAGAGAC